TATACATGTATATATATATATACCTACATATATATATACATATATATGTGTGTTTATGTGTATATATATATGCGGGGGGGAGAGAGCGGAAAGAAGGGTGGGGGAAACGATGAGTCCCGCTCGCCACCATCCCGTCCTCCTCCTCCCCCATCTTCCTCCTCCTCCTCCTCCTCCTCCTCCTCCTCCTTCACGTCTTCCTCCTGTTCCTGTTCCTCCCCCATTGACCTCCTCCTCCCCCACCTCCCCTCCTCCTCCTCCTCCTCCTCCTCCTCCTCTCCTCCTCCTCCTCCTCCTCCTCCTCCTCCTCCTCCTCCTCCTCCTCCTCCTCCTCTCCTCCTCCTCCTCCTCCTCCTCCTCCTCCTCCTCCTCCTCCTCCTCCTCCTCCTCCCTCCTCCCCTCCTCCCTCCTCCTCCTCCTCCCCCCCCTCCCCCCCCCTCCCCCCCCCCCCCCCCGCTCAAGCACAGAGGGTCCGAGGCGCGCGTCGTAACCGTTCGGGGTCACACCTGCCATGGGACTCCAAGCCCCGCGCCTCCGCGTCGGCGTTCAAAGGGGCACTGGGTAGCCTACCTTCGTCGCTGGGCTGGTTTGTGTGGGGATGTGCGTGGAGTAGGCGGTCCCTCTTGAGGGTTGCCCGATGACCAATGGTGTTTGCACATTCTTGAGTAAGGTTATGATGATCCAGCCTACTTTAGCCTCGATTACCAGAAAGAATTTCGAGCGCCAAAAAATACCGAAATTCAAGGGTGTTCACGTGTCGGGCCCTGGAAGACACTCGCCCGACACTGTGTTGGCACTGTTTCGATACTCGGTTGACACTTTTCCGAGTGCTCGAAGTTATTTCTGGGATGTGGTCTTTAAGTAGGATGGGGACAACATAAGAGTTAGGGCCGCATCGAGCCGATTTCATTTCAGTTGGATTTGCGTCAGTTCCTACCGCGTTGGACAGCTTTCCCAGTGGCCAAACGGAGCAAGGTTCGATCGATGTGTGGCGTGGTTCGTTGTGCGAGCAGCCGCACAGCATTTTCTTATGCTTAATTGCGCGTATGCTTCTGGTTTTTTTCCTGCACCTGTTCTTCGGCATCCATCCCAGGCGGCAGGGACACCGGGAGCCCTTGCGCAGTGACCCAACGCCTCCCGCCTGGGTGTATCACTTCGCGCCCTTGGTTTTCTAGCTATGTGTTACTGCAGGGGCGAGGCGCAGTATCAACAACGGGTTTCCACCTGGAGTTGCTGCGAAGCGATGTCCTCCAGCATGTTGTGCATATACGCATGGTTATTACGTTCCTGCTCGGTCTCTTCGTCATCTATCCCAGGCGGGAGGTACAGTGGGAGCTGACGTGCACTGACCCAACGCCTTTCGCCTGGGCGGCACTTCGATGTACGGCTGCGCTTGGACAAGTGGTTTTTCCGTAACACGGGACATTATGTGCATATCATTGTTCATGCGTTGCGATTCGCATGTCGGCGAAGCCGCGTGGCTCTTTGTCACCTCGACGCGCGGCGTGGGTCATACGTTTTGTCTGCCGAGGTGCCAACATGGGCTGAAGGAGTGAACAACGTTGTTGTTGCTGGTTCGTTATGAAATGTGGCGCGTTGGAGGGACGCAATTACGACATCCACGTGTTCCGTACGCTTTTGGTATTTTGGTCGTGCCCTTCGATATTGTAGTGGCCTTCGGCCAGTGCCGCCGATCCGGGGTGCTCGGACTGATGTGATCATCCTTCGCCCTCGTCCCTCCTCTCTTTTCCCTTCCTTCCCCCTCTCAGTCCGCATTTATCCATTGGCCTTCGGCCTATCCCGCCACCGTGCGTGGGTGGTGGGTCAGAGGCCTCATGGACGCTGGTTGTGATCTCGTGGTTGGCTGGGACTTCTGGGGGCCTCTTGGGCGCCCCTTGGGGCTTCTTGGGGGCCTCTTGGGGCCACTTGGGAGCCTCTTGGGGGGTGTCTTGGGGGTCTCTTGGGGCTTCTTGGGGGCCTCTTCTGGGCCCCTTGGGGCCTCTTGGAGGCCTCTTCGGAGCTTCTTGGTTCGGGAGGGGTGGTACTCGAGTGCGGAACCCCCTCTGAGGCCACGATCCTTGTGAGGGGTGTCAAAAAACGCTCCCCCCCCGCATCCGCCGGAAACTCGCCCCCTCCCCCCCCCACCCCCCCTTCCCCGGCAGAGCCACCCCGGCAACCCCCCCAGCGGCTGAGGCTCAGCCTCGAGGCTGTAGCTGAGACTCCTTGAAACTCACACGCCGGATCGGCGGATTTTTCTTTCTGCGCTGGCTTATCCAGAGTTCGTCGTCGAACCTTCCTTGTTGCCGCGGGCTCGGACAAGGTCAGCGCGACGTTTCCCATCGCTTCGCGAATGCTCCCGTCCAGCCCCCCTCCCTATCCCCCTCTGTCCTCCTGTTCCTCCTCATCCTCCTCTTCCTTCTCCTCCACCCCGTCCTCCTCCTCCTCCTCGCCATCACCATCATCATCATCATCATCATCATCATCATCATCATCATCATCATCACCATCATCATCATCGTCATCGTCATCATCATTCATAATCCTCATCCTCTTGTTTGGTGCCACCACATTATCCGTGAACGCGCCAGTCCGCGCAACGGTGTGAACGGGCCGCCATTTTGATCCAAACCCCGGAGGTTACATGGGACCGGCTTTTCGGGGGCCATCCCAGTTCGGCGATGGCCCCCAGTTGCCGCGGGCTCGGACACGGTCGGCGCGACGTTTCCCATCGTTTCGCGATTGCTCCAGTCCACTCCAGTCCCCCTCCCTATCCCCCTCTTTCCTCCTGTTCCTCCTCCTCCTCCCCGTCCTCCTCCTCGCCATCATCATCACCAATCAGAGTCCTCATTCTCTTTTTTTGGTGCCACCACATTATCCTTGGCGTGAACGCGCCAGCCGCAAGTTGGCCCCAGTGGTCCGCGCAACGGTGTGAACGGGCCGCGTTTTTGATCCAAGCCCCGGAGGTTTGGGGGCCATCCCAGTCGGCGATGGCCCCAGGATGCCACGAATAAATACGTTCCGTTGATTCTGCCGGGCACGAGGAGGATGGAGAGAGAGAGAGGGTCCCTTAGTTGCCAGAGCGCCGTCGCATCGGTTCAATATGACAGAAGCTCTCGGGGATGCCCGATCCAGGTGTCGACTCTGAAGCTGGAGCGCCTTTAGCCATCAGCCTCACAACCCCTTAAACAGCGATGGTGTGGGGCCCGTTTCGAGTGTTAGGCGTGTTGCGCGGCATGCGCGCACTTCTAAGGACATTCTGGGTTTCTCTAACTGTTGAGGGGCGGGTCTCTGGTCTTCCTCTTCCTCCCTCCTCCCACTGCCGTACAAGAGCATATGCTTTGGTTATGGGGGTGGGTGACTGGTAAACAGGACGGGGAGGCCGACTTCGACCGAGGCATCGCCAGGGAAGCGGGCCTCACGCGGGCGGGTGGTAAGCCGGCACTTTGATCTCAGCCAACTGGCAGACGCGCGGTTTGCCAAGGCAGGCGGTGGCGAAGGTCGATGTTCCACCCCTACTTCGGTCCCCCACTTCCCGTGCTGCGGCGTTGGCCAAACTTTCGGGGGATGTGATGGGGCGGGGGGATACGATGGAGAAGGGGGGCGGGGAAGGGGCGACAACGACGACGACAACGATGGCGACGACATGCCGAAACGGCATTCGCTGTCGCCATCCTGGCGTGTCAGGTGCAGGCCCTTCTCTTCGACGGCATCCCCCGATTCCGTAGAGCTCGAGCCCCTGTTTGGTCGGGCCGAATGGGCAGGGTAGAAAAACCTGGGCCTGGCACACTGTTGTCTTCACTCCCCCCACGCCGCACCTCTCCAGTCGGGAGCTGTTTGCCGGGAGGCCTGCAGCTTGGGTTGGGGCTTCGGGGTTCGGTGGCGCCTATCATCATTTGTTCTCTCTGTCCTACCTCTCGGCTTTCCTCGTTCTCCATCGGTGCCGCCTTACCCCTTGGTGGGCACACTGTCCCCTTTGTGTCACTCTCTGCTCCTCGCGTGGCCTTGGGACGTAGGCGCGTCACAGAGGAGGAGGAGGAGGAGGAAGAGGAGGAGGAGGAGGAGTAAGAGGCAGAGCGAAGAGGAGTAGGAGGAGGACCAGTGTAAACCCGAGACCCATCAACGATGTTGCAGCAAACCCTCCTTCCAAGCTCCCTTTTCATACGCTCGTACACGGGCTCATTCCCATTGAGGGAAAGTGCCCGGTTGGAAGACAACGGCTTGAAAATCTGAGCAATGTCAGAATACCATTGTTGGGACTCCATCGCCGCGAACCAATGGTACTGTTGTGCACAGAGTACTGCTCCTGGGACTTCAACACCTCAACACCACGAATCAATAAGACGTGTGCGCCCTGACAGTCCTACACCGTTCCAAAACACGGATGGAGGGCGGAGGAGATGGAGGAGGAGGAGGAGGAGGAGGAGGAGGAGGAGGAGGGGGAGGGGGAGGGGGAGAAGGCTGGGGAGGAGGAGGAGGAGGAGGAGGAGGAGAAGGAGAAGGAGGTACAGAGGGAGGAGAAGGAGGAGGAGGAGGAGGAGGAGGAAGAGGAGGACCAATGTAAACTAGAGACTCGTCGATGGTATTGCAAGTTCCCTCTTCACAGGTCCCTACAAGGGTTCGTTTTCACTGAGGGTTAATTTTCGCCCGCGCCAGGGGCGGACTGGAGACCACGTGCTCATTCCCAGTGCCAGCGGCAGCGGGGAGATGAGTGAAGTTGCCTTCTGAGGGCGGCCACACAGGTGTCAACCTTTTCGAGTAGACGCTGAGAGACATCGACACGGGCGCTCCAGAGTCGCTTTGCTTTGTTTTGTTATCCTCCTCCTCCTCCTCCTCCCCCTCCTCCTCCTCCTCCTTCTCCCTCCTCCTCCACTTCGTCCTCCCTCCTCCTCCTCCTCCTTCTCCTCCTCCTCCTCCTCCTCCTCCTCCCTCCTCCTCCCCCTCTCCCTCCTCCTCCCGTGGCGCTGCTCAGCCTCGAGGCCCTCACCCCCCCCCCCCCGCCCCAGGGCCCAGCAGCACGCGGCCGCAGCGGCACGGAACGGCCTGCAGCGACTGCAGGCCCCGGCCCCCGCCAGCGTGACGCACGGCCGCGCCCTCCTCCCCCTCCCCATCGGGACCAGCGCTACCTGGCATCGCTCGGACGTGTGCATTTTTTCTCTGCGAGGGCCATCAAGGAGCATCCTTGATCATTTTGCGAAAAAACCACGCACGAAACCGAAAAAAAACAACAGGAAATGGACGTCCGAGCGATGGCCAGGCTAGGGTCAAGTCGGGCCTGCCCCTCTACAGGAGGAGTGATCAAACATAGTCCAACAAAACTCTGGGGGCGTGTTTTTTGACGACGTTGGAGTATGATGGAACCTATTTTCAAGGGAGGAAGAACCACCTGAACCGGACAATTGGCGTTTCCTAAACGGCCTTGGGCGTTTACTAAACGGCCCTGCCCTGTTTGATTCCTTCTGTGGGTGCGTTTACTAAACGGCGTCGCGTGTCGGGGTGGTTCCTATCGGGGTGGATGCTCTGCCCTCTATACTTGCAGCACGTCTCATCTTTTCCTCCAAAAATCCGCACGTGGGGGGACACGCCCGACCCAACGCTGGGGGGCGGGACGGGCTCAGGGAAGGCGAAGCCTCGAGCTCCCAGGCCTGCGGACGTGTCGCCCGCTCCCCGGCGGCTCCTCTGTCTTGGGATGCCTTTGCCAGCAGCGGGCGGCGCCTCGCCGAGGCCGCTCCGCGGGTGCCCGGGCTTCGCCCCGAGCGGACACCAGAGGCCCAGGCTGTTCGACCAGACGCAAGAGTGACCTTTCGCCGGAGTGACCTTACAACGACGCGAAGATCGGGACAAAATCGGATCGGGATAAATCGAAATCTCTGAGAGTCGGAGGGTTTGGAGGATGTATTGGGCGCCGCGGCCGCTCCAGAACGTTCCGGAACGCTCTGAGAGCGCTCCGGAACGCTCTGGAGCGATTTATCCCGATCCTAGCCCTGTTTTAGACCTTTGGTGCTGGCCCAATGGGTTCCCCAGGTCGCCAGACGCGATGCGATGGTAGCGCCTCGCGCGCCTGTGCTTGGTCCCCCCCGCGGCCCCCCAAGAGCCGCGCACCAACGGTCACCCTCACCCAGGGTCACTCCTGCGTGTAGCCGAGCTGTGGCCCGAAAGCCATGAAGCGTCGCTGGAGGGGGCTGGGGGTGGGCTGGAGGGGCGGGTATCATGGCCAGGGTCATGGGAGATCCCCGGATAGCATTGTCCCATCTCCTGTTCCTTCTTACTGCTCGTATTCTTCAAGTTGTCATGTCGGTGTTGTGTGTCTTATGTCGCCTCTTCTTTCCACGCGGTCCCCCTGGCCGCACACGTGCTTCAGGCCATCATTTGCGCACCCCCCTCTTGGACGGCTCCGACTTGAGTGGAGGGGCCAGCGTCGGCGTCCGGCCGTCAGTATCGTCGGCGTCACCAACGTCATTGGCACCGTCGTTGTCGTGTGGGCGGGAGAGGGGAGAAGAAAGAGGAGAGGGGGCAAGGGGGAGAGGGAATGCGATGACGAGGACGGACAGAATTGCACTTGGTGTTGTTCATGCATCTCGGCCTCCGGCGGCACGATTCGAGCCGCGCCTGGTGCCGTCAGAGATCGACCCTGGATTGGGAGACCAGCCAGGATGGACCTCGGGGACCAGTTTCGAGCTGATGTCAAGCAGTGGCGAACCGTCCTGGCGTGCTTATAGGCCTACCATCCAATGTTCTAAGAACCTGTTGTGGTTTCCGCGAAATGTTCTTAGAACATTTCTGGCTGGGACTGTCTTGTTTTAACACATCGGGATTATGTTCTAAGAACATTGTTTTTGCTCTTAGAACTTTTTGGGGCTCTAAGAACACTTCGTGGTGGGCCTATAGGAATGCCAGGACGGTCGGTCCCTGCTCAATAATGGCGTCCGCGGGCCCTCAACGGCCCCTGGGACCGTCAAAAGTCGCAGCTGGATGAAGAACCGATTCCCGGGGAGGTGGTCGAGACTTTGGCAGGCCCAGGTGACCGAGGCATTTGGCAGCTCGACAGAGTCGAGACCGCCGTGTTCCACCCGTGTTCGATTGTCTGGGAGGCCATTTGGGGGCCTCAGGGCTTAGATTGAAGTCGGGCCTGTCCCTCTACGGGGGTAAGATTCAAAAATAGTCAAAAAGATGATCTGGGGACGATTGTTTGAGATATGGTGTTGCTATGTTTGAGCAGTTTTAGGGTATGTTGTATTTTTCGTCCAAACTCTCCCTGTAGGGGGACAGGCCCGACCTAAAGCTTAGATGATCTCAAAAACGCCAGGGACGCTTTTTTCAACCGTTGCCGAGGGACTCGACAGAGGAGGCAGGCATCTTGGGGCGGAAGAACGGCATCCAAGCACCACAACCTTGGCAAGCACTTCTCTTGCTCTCCGACATGCGATTCCACTCGCGCTTGACGCACTTCCCGCACTTGGTCCAGGGGTCACTGTGCGAACTCCCAGACTCAAACTGCTGTTGGGCGGTGTTCTTCCTGCCTTTCGCCATGTGTCCATTGCGTTCTCACTGTTTCCCTTCAGCCAATCAGCTTAAGTCGTCCAAACATTCTGAATGTATAAAGGATAGATGTGCAGACAGAGTGTGCAGTACACGGGCACCGGCTGGTGCCCTTCAAGTAGAAGTTGGACGTTCTATGCCCAGGCACAATGTTTGGGCCAAAGTGGTTTACAATGAGGAGGATGAGGAGAAAGAGAAGGAGAAGGAGAAGGACGAGGAGCCTCGTGAGAGCACAGGAGGCGACTGTACCAAGAATGCCAGTTGTCCTAAGTGGGTGGGACGGGTTTTGCTCCTTGGAGGCCTCTGGGAACGCCCCGTGGCGACTTCTTGGAACGTCTCGGGGGCTTCTGGAGCCGTCTGGGGCTAGTCTTGGGCGTCTTGGCGCCATCTTTCGACGACTCGTGCTCCTCTTGGACATTACGGGGACCCTCTCCGGGCCCTCTTGGCCCGTTTTAGACGCGTTCGGCCGGTCCCTGGGGGGACCCCCCCCTTTCCCTTCCAAATCGACCAGACCGGGGTCACGTGGGAGGGGTTTGGAGAGGGGCGGACATCTCACACGCCGATGAACCCCGAGGGGTCGGCGGACTTCGTGGCAGGGCTCCCGTGGATGCCGCGGCCGAGGCCTGGCCTGCCCTGTGCCGCTCGCTGCGCCGCGCGGCGCCACCGCTCGCGGCGCGGAGGCCCCCAAAGGCCAGAGGGCAGGCGCAGGGCAGGCCGCGATCGGCACCGCTCCCGCCAGGGGGAGAGAGCGGGGGGGCCGCGGCACCCCGGCACAGGACAGGCAGGGGCGCCCGCCCTCCCAGGGTCGGGAGCGGAAAAGAGGGGGGTGATGATTGGGGGGGGGGATCTCATGGCGGGGGCCATGATAGTTCCCCAGATCTCACGGCGCCTCTTCTCATTTCATTACGTCCCTGGCCCCCCCGCTGGGCCGCGCACATGCCGCCGGTCATGATTTGCACCCCCCCCCTCTTGGACACCCCCCTCTTGGCTGCTCCCGACAGGGGGAGCCCGGGGAGAGGTTCTCGGACCCCGGGGGGCGAGCGCAGGGGGGGGGGCAGGCCGGCAGAGCCGTGCCACGGCGCCGGAGGTTGCCAGAGACCTCCTACCCCCGACACGTCGATCCGCGAATTGGCCGCGTTCGGTTCGCGGGAGGGCATCGCGGCCGTCGTGTGTTGCGGGTCCAGGTCCGTCGGTTTCGGTCCTGGGCCGTTTTCATTACGAAAGGGTGGTTTACGAAAGGGAGGTTCGTCCACCGCCGAAAGGCGGTGAGTGTGGGGAGTGAAGTACCGCACCGCCTTGGGAGAGGACGTCTTGCAGCCCGTCGGAATTGTCTTGCCGCGCCTTGTCGCGCGTCTGGCGCGCCCCCTGCTCGCCTGCTGACGCGCATCTGGCGCATGGCTGCTTCGTTCGTTCGCCGTGAGAGGACACGGGACCCGGCAGCTGCGCGGGAAAGGACGCTTGGGCGCGGGGGCTTGGACCCCGAATGCCCAGTGCTCCCCGCCTGCACCAAGTGGCGAGTTTGACCCGACGCCCCGCGTCTGAGGGTACCCCTCCCGGGGCGTGGTGGTGGTGGTGGTGGTGACTGTGGTGACTGTGGTGGTGGTGGTGGTGGTGGTGGCGGTGGTGGTGGTGGTGGTGGTGGTGGTGGTGGAGGTGGTGGTGGTGGTGGTGGTGGTGGTGTGTGTGGTGGTGTGGTGGTGGGGTGGTGGTGTGGTGGCGGTGGTGGTGGTGGTGGTGGTGGTGGTGGTGGTGGTGGTGGAGGTGGCGGTGGCGGTGGCTGTGGTGGTGGTGGTGGTGGAGGTGATGGTGATGGTGGTAATGAGGAGGAGTAGGAGAAGGAGAAGGAGGAGGAGAAGGAGCAGGAGGAGCAGGAGGGGATGAGCAGGCGGAGGAGGAGGAGCAGGAGGAGCAGGAGGAGGAGGAGGGGAAGAAGGACGAGGAGGAAAAAGGAGGAGACCGTCACATGTGACGCCTCTCGCCTTCATTTCTCGAGGAGCCCTCATGGACCTCGTTCGGGCCGTCTTGGGGCTGTCCTGGGCTCCTGTTGGCACTTATGGGGGCCCCTCCGGGTTTATGGGCCGTCTTGGAGCCCTCTGCGGCTGTCCCGGGGCTCTTTGGGGGATCTCGTAGCAGTCTGGGGGGTCTCTTGGGGCCGTCGCGAGGTTGTCTTGGGTCGTCCAGCGTCATCTTTCGAAGAGAAACGCCATAACCATAAACTTTTGGCGCTCCGCGCGGATTTCTTGGATCCGCGCTGGGCTCCCCGGCGGCGCCTCCAGCGCCGCCATGGGCGCGCTCCGCGCGCCAGGGAGGGGGGTCCAGCGCAGATCCAAGAAATCCGCGCGGAGCGCTAAAAGTTTCTGTTTATGGCGTTTTTTCTTATTCTAATATGAGGCTGTATTGGAGCCAAATTGGTCCGCCCTTGACCAATCTTGGGCCGCCTTGGAAGCATCTCGGGCCATCCCAGCCACTTTTGGCGGCATGCCAGAGGCCCTCTTCAGCCAGCTTGAGGCTCTCTTGGGGCCGTCAACGGCCCTCCAATGTCGCCGACGTTGGCTTACTCGGGCCCTCGGGACAGTCCTTTGGTACATAGCCATCTTGGGCAGTCTCGCGGACAAATGAGCGACGCCAAAAGACGGGGTCTGCGCCGACACTGGCGCGCAAGATGCCCGCGCAAGCTGGCGCGCAAGCGCCCTCGTCTCACTGTGGCTTACCGCGCAGGCGGCCCGCGCAAGCCGCGGCGCAAGGTCGCTGTGTCATCTCGTGTAAAGCCGGAGGAGGAGGAGGAGGAGGAGGAGGAGGAGGAGGAGGAGGAGGAGGAGGAGAGGAGGAGGAGGAGGAGGGAGGAGGAGGAGGAGGAGGAGGAGGAGGAGAGGAGGAGGAGGAGGAGGAGGAGGAGGAGGAGGAGGAGGGAGGAGGAGGAGGAGGCGGAGGAGGAAGGAGGAGGAAGGAAGGAGGAGGGAGGAGGAGGGAGGAGGAGGAGGAGGAGGAGGAAGGAGAGGAGGAGGAGGAGGAGGAGGAGGAGGAGGAGGGGAGCTCCGCCTGGAGGATCTCGGAGGGAGGAGGAGGAGGAGGAGCTTGGGCCGTCCTGGAGGCATCTCGGCTTCGGGAGCGCGAAGCCGTCGATCTGTGCGAGGGGCTGCGGCCTCGGGGGGGCGAGCATCCTGCATCCGACGAGGGGCCTGTGAGAGGAGGAGGAGGAGGAGGTAGAGGAGGAGGAGGAGGAGGAGGAGGAGGCGGAGGAGGAGGAGGGCCTCGCGGGCGCGAGGTGGCCAGGCGCTGCGAAGGATTGGCGGCCTCGGGAGTGCGGACTTCAGAGGAGGAAAGGGTACCCCTACCTTTACCGTTCGCCCGTGTTCCCCTCGTTGGGCCTCCTGGGAGGCCCTCGTCGCCACCGCTGGATTCGCCTCGAAATCATGGTCAGAACGCACCCCGGGAGAGGTCTGGGGAGCAGCGATATCAGTACCTTTGAGTTTCCCCAGAACTTGCTGTACTTTGAAGGGGGAAGAAGTGGCCTGCGGAGAGGGGAAGAGGGCCCCAGTGCACTTCAGAAGCCTTGCCGCGCAGCACTCGGCACTCGACATTCCGGCACACCTCCACGTGCCAGGGGGCACGAAGGCGGATTGAAAGCGTTTGGGTTGTTTGCCAGGAAGCGGTTGCCGGAATTCTTCGCGCGCGCATTCGCTGCAATCGTGAGGAGGCCATGGGTGTCAGCCATCTTGCCAAACGAGACCATACAGTCGGACCGAGGTATAAGATCGAGGTCGGTTCTTTGAGGGTACCCTAGTGTTCTTCGTGCTTATTGGATGTTATCGTGCACCCTGGGGAGGGTGCCCTCGGATGTGCTGTGTGTGTCTTGGCCAGCGGAGGGTCTCACGTTCTTGAAGGATGCTCTTGGGCCCAAGTCCATTGTACGGCCCCCACGCGCGTGCCTGTCAAACTCATCCAACGGTACTCGCGCACCCGCCAACTTTGTCCAATGATACCAAGCGGGCCATTCATCCTCCTCCTCATCTTCCTCCTCCTCAGGCGGGCGTCTGCGCGCGCACTTCAACATTCTGCTCTAACTGCAGGTAGTCTGGGAGTGTCACAGAGCAGATGTGCTCAAGACGCACTGGGAAATGCCTGCTCTGTCCGACATTGTCTGGACTTCTGAGTGTCTGCGCGCGCACTTCCGCTTCATTATCATCAGCACCATCGTTATCATCATCGCCAGGATGAGTATTGCCAATATTATCGTTGTCATCTGCATCAGCATAAGCATCATCATTATCATGTTCATCAGCAGTATCATCATCATCATCAGCAGCAGCATCATCATCATCGTCGTCATCATCACCATCCTCATCGGCATCGTCGTCATCATCATCATCCTCATCATCATCGTCGTCATCGTCATGATCCTCATAACCGTCGTCGTCGTCGTAATCGTCCCCACCTTCGTCATCGACACCATCATCGTCATCGTCGTTGTCATCGCTCTCGCCGTCAGCGCCACCATCATCATCAGCATCAGCTTCAGCATCATCATGATCACTCGCCCGCCGGAGCCATGGATCTGTATGAAAAGGGTCTTCGCATAATGACAGCAGTTGATGGGTGCAAACAAGTTGTCCGTGTGTGGATGAGTGCGATAGGTGCTCGAGCATATTGACGTTGATGACGAGCAAGGGAGTTCACGACTTCGAGTTCTCCCCCATATAAGTTGCACAGCCTAGGTTGCAGCACAGAGATTGCATCGAATCGACTGCATCCGCATGTTGAACCGTATGGATCGCGCACTCCAGATGCTGAACCGCACACGTTGAACCACGCTGAATGCACTCCATAGACACGCACCACACGGAGCGTGCATATCAAGAGTGTTGGGGCCCTATTTTGTTTCGCGTTTTTTTTGTTTCCGGCAGGCCGCTGGTGTCGCGCCCCAACGACATACAGGCTTCGGAAAAAATTCGCGAACATTCATGCCGCATTCATCTGTCAATGGCCCACCCAATGCTCAATGTTGGCGATGGGCTGAAAGAGCTGCATTTCGACCGCAGTCTTCCCCCCGCGCGTGCCAACTTTGATTTTGGGGGAGCGGGGGGTATCCATTGACTGTTTCCTTCTACCGTATCAGGCTTGCTTCCTCCAGTTGCGCTCGCGGGGGGGAGGAGCCAGCCGGGTGCCCGCCGTCGGCAATGACCTCCGGTTCCTGGAGGTCCCGGGGGGTCCGGGGGGGGGTCCTGGAGGCCCTGGGGCTCCTCGTCGACGCCGTCGGCCCCGTTCCCGCGCCCGTGGCTTCCAGGACGGCGTGCCTGCCGTGGGGGAGTGGGCAAGGACACCAGTGATGAGGATGCGGATGACGGGGAGCGCTTCGGGAAACGAAGGGATCGAGAGTGCAGGATCGCACGTTCGGGGGGCCCGCGCTAGGGAGTTCCTCCTCCTCTTCCATCTCCTCCTCCCCCCTCTCCTCTTCCTCCTCATCATGATCCCCCTCCTCGGACCTTGGCAGTCCCTCGAGAGCATGGGGCGGCCGGCCGCGCGGCGGCGCCAGGCGTTCCACTCGGCCTTTCAGGGCCGGGCGCACAAGCTGGGGCAGTAGCACGGGCGCCCGTGTGGCAGCGGGCCGCGGCCAGATGTCCCTCCTGCGCGCGGAGCGCAGGAGAATAATATAAGTTCGATGTTTTGTGCACGCGTCGGGGGGCAGAGGACGGCATAAGCAACACAAGTTGTCGGAGATCGGCGCTGAGTTTTCGGAGCGGTGCTGGAGTCCCCTCGCTGGCGCGTGGAGCGCGCCAGGGGCGGCGCCGGAGGCGCCGTCACGGGTCTCCAGCGCCGATCCAAGAGATCCGCGCGGACCTCCGAAAGTTGATGTTCATGTCATTACTCCTTCCCCAGACACATTGCCCGCATTTATTAGCAGCACGTGCTGTCTCACTGCCGACGCCGGCTCCAGGTTTACGCGTCTGTTGTTATGGATCAGTGCTGTCATGCGCGCTGGCGTGCCTGGCACAGCAGGGAGGGTGAGGCTGCTATGGATTGGTCCGCGGACAGTCGTCGAAGTCTATGTCTGACAAGCTTATTTTTTGCAAGGATGTCGTCTGACTAGTCTTAGGTCGGGCATGTCCCCCTACAGGCGGATTTTGGACGAAAACACAGAAACAAAAAAATGTTTAAGATGATCAAAAGATCGTCCCCAGACGATTTTCTTACGATATTCTCCTCCTGTAGAGGGACAGGCCCGACTTGAGACTAATCTGACTCATACGCAACGCTTGACGCGGGACACGGCCAGACAAGCGTTCCGTCTGGTCTTGGGCCGTCTTGGTGGCGTCTTGGGCCCATTTGGGGTCCGCCTCGTCGGATTACTGGGCCGTATGAAGGGGCCCACCTGGGCAATCGTACAAGCCACCCGGGCCACGTTTGAGGTCTCCTGGGGCTGTGTGGAAGCTGTCGTGGGCCGTCCTGAGCCCCTCGGGGGGGGCCTTGTGGGGCCGTCTGGGGGCGACCTTGGACGCTACTTCTCAGTCAGACCGAAAAAAAAAGCAGCGCATCGGCCGAAAGTCCCGGCAGAGGACGCTCTCGCCTCGGCCCTGGCCACACACCGGTGGCGACGCTTGCGCGCCGTGGCCACGTTGAGAGCTCCCGTGCTACGAAGCGATGGTGTGACGGTGTGGCATATGCGCGGCTAAGAGTAGCTCGGGCACGTCCCTCTCTACAGGCGGAGCATCCAAAACCAGCACGGTGGCGGGCCGTGCTCCGACCGCGCCGTGGCCCCGCCTCGTCCCAGCACGGCAGGTTCGCGTCGCGTCGACCCGCCGCGACCCTCCTCCTCATCCTCCTCCTCCTCCTCCTCCTCCTCCTCCTCCTCCTCCTCCTCCTCCTCCTCCTCCTCCTCCTCTCCTCCCCTCCTCCTCCTCCTCCTCCTCCTCCCTCCTCCTCCTCCTCCTCCTCCTCCCTCTCTCCTCCCTCCTCCCTCCTCCTCCTCCCTCCTCCCTCCTCCCTCCTCCTCCTCCCTCCTCCCTCCTCCCTCCTCCCTCCTCCCTCCTCCCTCCTCCCTCCTCCCTCTCCCTCCTCCTCCTCCCTCCTCCCTCCCCCTCCTCCCTCCTCCCTCCTCCTCCTCCTCCTCCCCCTCCTCCTCCTCCTCCTCCTCCTCCTCCTCCTCCCTCCTCCTCCTCCTCCTCCTCCTCCTCCTCCTCCTCCTCCTCCTCCTCCTAGATTGAGCACCGCTGGTGGCCCCGAGCCGGCCCGATCCAAATCTGGAACGATTCGGCAACCGAGAAGCCGCCGGGTCGTTCAGGGTCAGCGCCGGGGTCGTCACGACACGAGCCCGCCGTATGCCTCGGCGCGCCCACGTGGGGGGGGTGGAAGGCAGCGGGTGCGGCCCTTCTCGTCGGGCCCCGACGGGCCCGCCCTTCCGAGAAGCCTCCCGAGCCTGCTCCGAAGCCCCGGCGCCTTCTCGAGAAGGCCTGCCTCGGGGGCAACGATAGGGGATAGGCGTAGAGGGGGCTGCATCGACCCCCAATCGCCCATTGGGCCCGATAGCCCCAACTTGCACAGGGAGGAGCGGATTCACTATCGGGGGCCTATCGCCGATCCATCGGCGATGCATCGCCGATTCCAGGCCGATGCATCACCCCCCATGCCAGTCCCCCTCAATCGTCGCTCCTCACTGCCCCTTCTCGGATGCCCGGTGGTCTTTCGGGTCATGGCCCAAGCTCGCCGGCAGCCGATCGGGGCGGTGCGGTCACCCCGCGAGCGCATTCGGCGAGGCGCAGCCGCTGGAACGCACCCCGAGGCCGGGGAACCGCTGGGAACCGACGGGAACGCCCGAAAGCCTCGCATTTCGGGCGTGTGGTCCTGGGGGGTGAAGAAAAAGACCCTCAAAGGGCCCCTTTAGGGGCCCTCAAAGGGCCCCTTTAGGGGCCAGCTGGTGCCCAAAAAGGGCAACTAAAATACCCTTTGGGGCCCTTTTCTTCACCTCCCATGTGAGTCACCCCCCGTGACCACCCGCCCGAGAGCCTCGCGCCCCCCAAGATCTCGAGAAGTTCCCCCTCGGCGCGCCGCCGAAGGAATCGCTCCTCTCTCCCAGGGGAGGGCTGGGCGCCGAGGGCTGCTGCGACCTCGCGGCGCAGGGGCAACGTCAGTGGGGGGGGGGATGGGCAGAGGGGGGATGGATTGACTCGGGGAAAACAAACCTACCTCGCTTTTGACCACCCTGGCTTCCAAGGGATACCAAACGATGCCAAATTGTGGCCTGTACTGGTCAGGCCGCTTGACGAGGAGGCGCGTGGTATGGATTGGTTTTGCCTGGAAGCGAAAGCGGGGGAGGTAATTCACGCTGTAATTGACCCCCAATCGCCCACTGTTCGCCGATAATTCGGGGCCTTATAGCCTCAACTTGCCCATGAACGCACGGCGGTTCACTCTATCGGCAGCCGATCGCCGATCTATCGGCGATGCATCGCCGATTCCAGGTCGACCATCCCCCATATGTCGAAGAACGAAAACCGGCTCCGCGCGCCAGGGAGGGGGGCCCAGCGCGGATCCGAGAGATCCGCGCGGAGCTCCCGAATGTTATGTTTATGCAGTTTTTCTGACTTGGTCATCGGCAATGTATCGCCGATTCCAGGTCGACCATCCTCCCTGGTGATCGTTTTTGTTATTCATTGTTTTGCCGATCGGCGCGGGCCCTCTCAGCCCCCTCCCCCCCTCCCTGGAGCAGATCTTGGCTGTCTTTGGCGCCTCCCCCGCAGGACGCACTGCTGCAAACAGTCGCACCAAGCAGAGGTCCAGAGCCAGACCCACCCCCCTCACCCCACCCCCTTCCGCCCAGCGTCCAAACGCCGAATAAAAAAACGCTCACCACTGGGCCCATCCCCTCCGACTTGGCATCGCTCGGACGTATGCATTTCTTTCGGCGAGAACCATCCAGGACCATCCTGGACCGTCGAGCAAAAAAAAAAAAGGCGCACGAAACCGAAAAACTCACGGGAGATGGACGTCCGAGCGACGACAGGCCGATCGGCCAGCGGGGGCAATCCGGCGGGGGAGGAGGAGGAGGAGGAGGAGGAGGAGGAGAGGAGGAGGAGGAGGAGGAGGAGGAGGAGGAGGAGGAGGAGGGAGGAGGAGGAGGGGAAGGGGGAGTGGGGAGGAGGAGGAGGGAGGAGGAGAGAGGAGGAGGAGGAGGAGGAGGAGGAGGAGGAGGAGGGAGGAGGAGGAGGAGGAGGCGGAGGAGGAGGGAGGAGGAGGGAGGAGGAGGGGAGGAGGAGGAGGAGGAGGAGGGAGGAGGAGGAGGAGGAGGAGGAGGAGGAGGAGGAGGAGAGGGAGGAGGAGGGAGGAGGGGGAGGAGGAGGAGGGGGGGGGGAGGGTTTCCAAACAGGGGGAGGGGGAGGAGCGACGGCAAGCCGATCGTTGCCCCATCCGCGGCCAGCGGGGGCCCACCCGGCAGCTCTCCGCCGTGGACGCGGAGCAGCCGTGGGCCCCGCGGGAGGGGCGGCCCCCGAGCGCCGCGCGCACGGGGGGCGGCTCGCCGCGGCGTTCCGCCCCGGCCGCGCTCGCGCGAGGAGGAGGCGGCCTTCGCTTCCCCGCGCCTAACGCGTGGCTAAAGAGAGAGCCCCTCAGTCAGCGGGCGAAGAACGGTATAAAATAAACTTTTTCGCCGTCGGGGACACCTGCCCCTGGGCGGCTGGAAAGTTTATACCCCTACGGTGCCACCGTAAGGGTATAAACTTTCCAGCCGCCCTGGGTCAGGTGTCCCCGACGGCGAAAAAGTTTATGTTATACCGTTCTTCGCCCGTTAACTCAGATCCTGGCGTCGCAAGTTTCCCCGCGCCTAATATTCGGGGGTGGCACAGAGGGGGGGCGATGGCTAGGGGGGGGGGGGGGGCGGATCTCACTGTGCGGGCCATGACACCTCCCCATCTTTCATGGCGCCTCCTCTTATTTCGTTACGCCCCTGGCCCCCCCCGCGGGGCCGCGCACACGCCGCCGGCCATGATTTGCACCATCCCCCCCCTCTTGGACCCCCCCCTCTTGGCCGCTCCCGAGCTTCCCCGCGCCGAGCACGTGGCAAAAGAGAGAGAGCCCCCTCAGATCCTTCAGGAGGGGAAAAAACACACAGAAACAGTTAATCGTCGATTCCCCAGAAAATATGGGAAAATATGGCAAGTGGGGGGAAGGCAAAAACCCAGAAAATATGGGAAAGTATGGGGAAAATGTTTATTTGTGTGTATTTATTTGTGTGTCCTGGGGCCCCTTCAATCCTGGCGTCGCAGGTGCCTCGTCGAGGCGGGCGCCTCCGTTCGGCCTCGGGCCCCCCGGGGCCTCCCGGGGCTCGAGGCGGCGGCTCGAGGACCGCAGCGGGGAGGGCGGGGTCCGGGGCTCCAGTGGCGATTGCCTTGCCAGGCTCCACCTCTGCACGCTCCGTGCATCCCCAGCAGCTGATGCCGGTCTCGGCCAGGGCTCCAGTGGTGATTGCCTGCCAGGTTCCACCTCTGCACGCTCCGTGCGTCCACTGCAGCGGGAAGGCGTGGTCCAGGGCTCCAGTGGCGATTGCCTGCCAGGTTCCACCTCTGCACGCTCCGTGCATCCCCACCAGCT